GACATTTTTTTATGATGCTCAGTGCCAGTTCGATCGAAACCTCGGATCGGTGCTAAAAAATTTTTCTTCTATTTCACGCGGCTGACTGTGCAACCAGATAACGAACAGCTTGCAGTCATCTACGGCAAGTATCGATATGAGGGTGAATAGGCTGTTTGATACTTTCATTTTAAAAATAAATAAAAACAATATTTAACATAACATTTTCAACAAAGCGATATAACATCAAAATGGACTTGAGCAAGAACTACATAACTATTCATCAGGCTAATATAAAATAATAATCCGCTATTTGACAACTGTTTTAAGAGCAGAAATAGTCGTATCGAACGAGTGCAACATAACTACAATGACAGATACATTATCAGAACTTCCGCCTTCACTGCAGGCATATGAAACAAGATGAGATGCTATCCTCTCAAAACCTAAAAGATATTAACCAGTTCTAAATGACTGTGCCTGTCACCTCAGGTACGTCTTACCTGAAGAGTCAGAAAGATTAAGTAAGAAATCAGAGACGAGCTGCGCACACTTTGTCGGGGATACTCCGTCCCAAAAACCGTCGCTGCCTAACACCAGAAACATATGTTCATCGCCTATGCTGAATGTTGTCGTGTCCGGCTCGACAATCAACGGCGGTTTAATGGTGATATCGCCTGAAACGAGGAACGACAAACAAATATATAAAGAAATAACGCAGAACACGAACCAAAGCTGCGGGTGACATTAATCCAGCCGTTGACGCGATACTCGCCTTGGACATTAATAATGAAGCCGCCGGAGTTCTCGATCCTGGCGCGTTCCTTCTGAAATATAAACAGAAACTGGAAGTAATAAACAAATAATAGTCAATGGTCAACGGACGCTACAAAACTTACGCTGTTTTCGACGTTGTGTGCTCGTGTAAGTAGAGATGAGTTATGGAATCGGTCGATGACGACAGCGGCGCAGTCACCCACCCAAGCTAAAGAGATATTAGACGCAGTGACCAATGCGCAAATCGCCGTGCAACCGGATTTGATATTCTACAACATGGTCGCCATATTTCAATCACATTCACAAGCGATAAATAACACACCCACTTCACGCTGACACTTCTCCAGAAACGTGCGGTCGACGCTGGAGAAGCCTTCGTTCATCGCTTTGCACAGATCAGCGGGGAAAAATTTTGAGGTACAAATGTGGCTAACCAAATGAGTGGACATGTAAGCTGCACATTCCGAACCAGCATGTCCATCAAATATACAGAATACCGACAGATCACCAAAATTCTAAACAACAAAAGTTCTATTAGAAAGGGTGTATCTGGTGAAATCAACTAACAAGAAACATACAATTCACATGCAGTGATCTGTTAATATACAATTACAAGATCTGATAATGTGTAAACTACGTTTCACTGGCTTTTATACCCTCATAACATCATGTTATTTCAGAAAAGTCTAAGCGAGAAAGGTATCCAACGGAGAGAAACATCTGATAAATGAATACCAATTTTTTGGCCGTGATTTAACTTTGCAGTTTTAGATATGACATAAACAAAATTCGAATATTGCCAATAATTCTCCTGTCGATTCGGCACTGTCATTCTTAATGTCCGCATACTTTTCTGAAAACTCTGTTCAGGGAAGTATGAGCAAAAGCACTCTGTTATTTTAGATGAACTAGGTGTTGACTGTGTTGTTGCAAGTTGCTCATCGCAATTCGTTCTCAATGCTACTGTCATGGAAAACAAATAAAATACAGAAGAGCAATATTTTGACAGAGAGAAGGCTCGTCAACAACTCAGAAGCTACTGGGTTTTGATAGGCGGTACTGACAGGTGCATCGTGGTTTCAAGCTAGAAATGGTTAAAAGGACCTGAAAGTAAAGTTAAAAAGATATCGCACCACTTCTGGAACAGAACAAGACCATATTGTCATTGTACGTAACCTATGAACGGGAACAAGATGCTGACCCGCCGGCATGAACAACGCTTGATGGATATCAGGAATTTAATAAATCATTACCGGGTCACCTAATGATGCCTCAGCAAATAGACGTTCTGCTAAAACTATTTGTCTCGTTTTAAGAAGTTTACGACATTCAACGTGAGCTTCTTCCAGAAGTAAGCCAATTCGCTCGCTGACTTCGATGTTGAGAATAAATTTGTTTTACCTGATAGTGAGGAACTGCTTCTAGCAGTTTATGCATGGAGATCAAAACATCATCACGTGCTGCTTAACAGGGCCAAAGTTAGTTCATCCAAGTTCAAAGTCGTGTATATATATCGGTTCACAGGGAGATCTACTTTTACCAAAGTTTACCAGTGGCACCGGCCTGAAAACAAATGGACAAGTTAAGTGGTCAGGAGCCAAGATGTAACATTTGGTGTTCAATATAATCAAGCTAACTTTGTTCAAGTTTCAGATTCATACAATGTCGTCAGAACCTATACACAATAATCAAACTACAATCACGTTACCCATTACAATAGTATCGTTTCGTGTTGTCATGGCATGTCATCAAGTTTATGCCACCAAGGGCTGTCAGGCTGATTTCGTAGCAAACGGTAATGAAATTGATCGCTCTCGGTCTTCGCTCGCAACGTACCGGATAACTAAGAACCGAGAAATCCGCGATTCCAGCATTCATCTTTACAAGAGTTAAGTTAACTGTCTGTCGTACGACCCATCGGCATAAAATCAAGGTACTGACGGTCATGAAAAGTCACTTAACGGGGAAGAGAAGCTTGACATGCAGAAGAGGTGTTCATTTTGGTTGTCACGTAACAGCAGATTATACCATGCTGGTATGGGTATACTCTTGTCTCCAAGGGTAAGGCCGAGCGGTCACTTCCATGGAAGAGGTGTAAAGGAGAACCCTAAAGAGAACCCTCGTCTGTTGTCGAATGTCAAACAAGTGATGCTGAATGTCAATGTTGCCTATGCCTGGACAAACTGTCGAATGATAGCGAAAGACCTTTTCTAAGATTAATTACAGTCGGCTGTTAACGCTTTGTCGCGTCATAACGCCAC